CCAGGTAGATGGAGATGCATCCATGGCGCCTCCTTTACAACTCATTTGGGATTTAGGGCTGTATTTGAGGTAATATTTGAGCTTTGAGATGTTAATCAGCTATTCGCAGTTGTAAAAAAAAAACACTTGTTGTCATGGTTACGCTTCATAACAAAAGTCCAAAAGTTAAAAGGTTTCAGTAAAAATCCTTCCAGCTGCACAGCATCCAAAAACCAGAGGAAGTAATCATCCAAAAAAAGCCATTTACATCCAGAAAAAGAAGAAATAAAGTTTTCAAAAGCATCATCCCAGAATGAAAGTACAGCTACTCCAACATGCAGCCACCTTGAGTGGCGCAATTCTGATTGATTGATCCAAATCTATACCACAGGTGATGGTTGGAACGACGGACCAGTAAATCAAGAGTTAGGTATTTGTATCAGAAAAAAAACCTCTTTTCAACCCTGACTGCATGATAAGAACAGAGATTTGAATCAAATAAGAGGCTCCAGTGGCGATGTCATGGTCAGACCAGTGTCATTTCTCTCTCTGGAGACCAGTTCAATCATCGTGTTTTAATTTAAGTTAACATAAACACGCCCCGAGCTGTGAGTTCTCTACCGCACAGATCCTGAAAATGAGGAAGTCCTAAACGGCTTGGGTGTTTTCTTTTCTGCAATCACCTGTGGGCTTTCTGTGGACTATGAGTTTTAGAGCATCAGAATGAAAAACATAGTCCTCCACATGTGGCTCAGGTGGCTCTGTGGTCCCTGTTCTGTAACATGGACATGAAGACTTTAAACTTTTTTAAAAACCAGAGAAGGAAAACAATAGAAATATATGGATGGCGATGAACTGCAAGAATTAAAAGAAACAGCTTGCCTTTGATAATAAAGTCTGGAGTTTAGATATTATTTTACTAAATCTTACACCTTGTAGTTCTGTGATGTTCTGTTGTATGTTAAACATAGAATATCGACGTGTCCCACCTTGAACAAGCTGTGCAAAAAAGACTTCATATCTTGAACCTATAGGGAGAAAGATCCTCATTAGAGGATGTTGACCTCCTGTGTTGACCCTGCACTGTATTCCCACGCCGAGAAATAAGGTTAGCTCATTGTCTCCAGGGGTGTTTGCTTAATAAAACCTTGTTTTCTCAGGGGGTTATCAGTGATCCCCGCCTGCGTTCAGGCTCACCTGGTTGTGCACCGACAGCAGAACGTTTGACGTCCTCGCTTTGTCTTTTGTCTTGAGGCCACATGGAGTGTGAGATCTGCAGGAACTCACACACATTTTGACTGCCTGTGCTGTTTGTCTTCATTATCTCTGCTTTGAGTTGCCATGTTTATCCAGTTTTTACGGCGGTCAGGGGTCAGTGAAGTGACGTGCCTGCATGAGTATACACACAAGGCCTTTTTGCGGAGGGGTAGAAATAAAACTGATGTTTGAGCCTAATGAAAAACAAACCTTTTCCACGTGCAAGCAACGTGGGGAGGACAGAGAGGAGTGTTGATGTGGAGAAAGGTCATGTTTTTCCATTGTTGACTGAGTTTATGGAGGTTTTGATCAAAGACGGCTGCAGATGAGGCCACCAGTGAACACTAATTGCTGCAAATCACTCCAGGTCTTTCATCTTTATTTTCTTACTTACATGCTAACCTGCGCAAGTGACCCATGGAGGAAAATGCACGACTGAACCAAGGATTACGGTGACAATCACGAATCGAGAAAAGAACATCTGAATTTAATTTTCAGACTGAGCTGAGAGGGGTTCGTTTTACATAATGCCTCTCCACTTCCTGCCAAAGAACGTTTAGCCTTTCAGTCCTAAAACTCTTTAAGTCCGATAGGAAGGTGCTTTATTGATGTGGTTTGGAGCCTTTTTCATGTGGATGGTTTCAGATTATGCTTTCCATTTTTGAAAAAACATTTAAAGGAGTACATCTCCAGATTTGGAAAAAAAAAACAAAAAACAGTTTACCCATTGACATAAATTGTCATTAAGTTTGAATTAAAGGCTTTTAAAAGCTCCTAAATCTTTTTGTGCAGCTTAATAGGAACAAAAAATTCTCCAGTCCTGCTGAAAACAAGTCTGGCCTTTCTTGATGTTTTACCTCTCAGGAAACACCAGTTACAAACAGAGAAGTGTTTTAGTGTGACATTTGATTTCATATTAGCACCGCTCACATTGCAGTCAAATAAAGGTCTCTTTGTCCTTTGAACTTCACAGAGGACCCTCAGGGTCAGAGTTTGTGTTTAGATGAAGCAGTACAGACACTTAGTGGCTGACTGAAGAAGTGCCAACATTCAAACTCACCATAAACACTCCATTTATAACAGGATTCAAACATCTAAATCACCCAGTTGATAGACCAAGTCTTGGAAACATTGTACCGATGGTTCAGTTTACCTATGCTTGTACAAATAAATACTTTGTATAATAAATTTTAATAAATTTTAATTAGTACTTAAACTTTTTATTATTTCTGAACACTCCCATTGCTATTAGTGCCATAAAATGAAGTATTGTAATAATATTTAGGTCCAGTTCATATTGTCTTACTTGTCTTGTGCTTTAATAAAACAAACAGCAATAAAATATTGGTAAACAAAATTCTTTACAGCAAAAGTGACCTTTTTGTTGGCAGCATGTTAGCTCAGAGTGCACATATTCAACCTTTATACATATAAAGGTTATACATATGAATGCACTGCACCAGCCTAAGCAGTGTTTTCAACACTAGATCTATTTTCACTATAACAATAAACTCACTAATGATCAATTTATGTAGATTAAGACAAAAAAATGTTAGGTGGTATTAGGCCCCAGCGAGGATCGAACTCGCGACCCCTGGTTTACAAGACCAGTGCTCTAACCACTGAGCTATGGAGCCGATGTGCTGTTTAGCATTATACATGTTTATTTCACTGGTACATGAACGATATTCTGCGTGTGTTTGGATGTGTTGATTTAAATGTATTGCCATGCGGAGTTTATCTATATATTATAAAAGCTTCCACAATTAAACAATCTAGGTTATACAACCAACGTTTGCTAATTCGTAAGAAAGTTGTCCACAAAAGGTCGTAAAACGTACATGGTGGCACTTGTTTTACGGCACCTATTGGCCGAAAATGTCGTAAAACATGCATCGACAGTCAACGGCACGGTTTTTACGACACCTAAAGTTCATTTTTCAATTTATTTATTTTTTAATTGAACAATTGAACATATAGAACAAGTGAACACACTAACAGAATAAATGACAAACTCAGATTCCAATGATACATATAAACATGTAAAAATATCTACTGTCATACCTCCTAAATTCAACATATTCTTAAACAAATTACCATAACAATCATCATAAAATTAAATTTAGGTAATATTATCATCAAAGAGATTGCACATAATATGGTACAAGTAAATTAAAAAACAGAACTATATATCTAGCATTCTAGATAATTAATAAAATTATTTGTCAGAGGGCTATATTATCTGAGCGAGGTGATCTGAGCTTTTTTGCATGTGGTCTTTTAGCACTGTCCAATGAAAGTTTTAACATCTGGAGTTCTTGTATGAATACAGACCATAATGGCTTGGACATGCTATATCTGCATTTATGCATATAAAATTTTAGTATGATAATGTTATTAACAAAGTATTAATCTTTTTTATTTTCAGATACATATCCATATAAAACATTTTGAAGAGAGAAGGAGTCTATGTTCATGGATTTTATGGTCAGAAGATCGTGAAGGGATTTCCATAACGTGTTCACAGAATGACAGAAATAAAACAGATGTTCTGTTGTTTCAGGTTCGTTACATATAGAACAGTTATCACATTCAAAACTAAATCTATTTCTGATAAACTCGTTGGAAGGATAAATATTATTTAGAGTTTTGAAATGTAATTTACGACACCTAAAGTTGGAAATTGTGCATTACTCTTACTTTTACTTTTTTGATTACAGTTTTATATATTTACTTGTTGTTTATTTTAAACAAAACTTTATTGAAATCAAAAGATCTTCGCTATAAAGGTAGAAAAACACAAGAGAGCCAGGGGGATTGGACATATGAACATTAAATAAAAAGACAAAAAATTCAATAAAGCAATAAAGAAACGGGTTTAAACATCTGATTAGTGGAGAAACAAATTGGGCGAGTATGTTGTGTAAACTCAATCATTAAGCCAACAGAATTCATATTTTTCTTTAAAATATTGTATTTGTGTATGCAATTTGACTGGGTGATTATCAAATGCATTTCTTTGGATTCATTTTTACACTTTGCTGGAAACTTCTAATTGGAAGCATGTTTCCCAAGTAACTCAAAGTTAGGAGATATTTTTGAGTCAATATAGTTGTAACCAAAACACTTTGTAATGAGGACACAGCAAGAACAGATTCTGGGGCGAGATCATAGACATAAAGTTTATATCTAAGTGAGTTTTGAACATTTTAGGGTACTGTATTCCTTTGCAGGGCAGAGTTTGTAGTGTAGTGAGAGAGTCAGAAAGCCAAGCGGTCGGTTCAGATCGTTAATAAATTATTCACACAACATAAGCAAAAACCTACAACAGGTTTTTTTTTTAATTCAAGGAGAACTCAGAAACACAATAAAATTAAGTTCAAATAATAATTCTGGTTTAAACATTTCATGAAGTGCGATAGGAAGTGCTTTTTTATGACACAACAAAGGGGTTCAAAAAGTTGAATTGTTTATAATTAAGATTTTTAAACGTGTTTGTGCATTTCTTGACAACTTATAATTTTTAAGAATGTGATTTTTAAGTTGTTTTTTTTTTTGCATTCATGTGGGGTTTAAAAATAGATGCAAGTTTTATAAGACGGTTTAAAACCAATTGCTTTTTTCTACATGATCTGATAAACCAGCAATTAGACGCAATATAGAGCCATGAGAAATTTGGCTGTAGTTTGAATTGAGAAATACTTGACAGTAGCTTATATGAAGCACTATAACAAGTCTACTATATTTCACAAGATTTCACCATATCTTTGTTTTAATGTACCTAAAACAAAAATACAGCTATGTTAGTTCATATTTTTGAAGTTGAACCTTTACAGCAGCTGTGCAAACATTACAACTTACTCATGTTAAGGAATTTCTTCGCTTAGAGATATTGAGTAAAACTTTAGAATGATTTTTGTCAAGGCGTTTGTTCTTAATGTGTAGCTTTCTTTAACAGTTAGACTTCTACAACAGGGTGCGGGTTCCCACAGATCACCCCAGCAGCTTCACTGTGGGCACAGTTGTGCTTCCCTATTCCAGCATGTGAGCACCTCAGAAGGTCCAACTCCCTCCCTTTACACTGAACGTCGTCCAGAAGAATCTGCAGTCCCCTCCCTTCACCAAACTGAGAGTTTATGGTTGCCTTCAGAGCGTGACTGAATCCCATTTGCCGACAAACCACGTCAGCATTTTTGATCGACCATAAGTCGTCACAAACGATGCCCCAGTTCCCGTTAATGTAGATCTCCACTCGTCCACGATCGCCGCGTCCATACTCGTCCCCAACCAACCTCACCGCTCCATTCGGCAGCTCGGGCACATTGTTCGCTCTGGGATTTGCCTTCTGGTGGTGGCCTTTCCGCCTTGAATTACTGGATGGTTGGGCGGTCGGTCGGCTCGGGGCGGGGGTGGTCAGGGTTGGTGCCGGATCACCAAGGCGATCGAGGAGCTCTAGGAGCCAGTCGTAGGTCTTTGTAGGCTCTGGCTCTGGCTTGTTTCTAGTTGGCAGCTCAAAACCAGTTAATTCTAACGAGGAAAAATACAAGAATGCATGTAAAGTGGCAGGTTCAACATGTTTTAAAAAGTGATTTGTTTGTGGACTCACTTTCTTGGGGAACAAACTTGATGAGATTACTTTTAGCTCTGACAGGGAGAGGATCATAATGGCACCGTCTCGGTGGGGCCCGTCTGAAACACAAACATTGAGATTACTTAAAAGTGCTCATTGCAAACAATAAAATTAGACATCTAACCTGAACCCTAATCCTTAAACTACCTTGAACTTGAATCACATTCATTGGGGCAGGTAAAAACAAATATGGCAAATCAGACAAATGGAATCTCAGAGAATACATTTTTTATTTGCTTTCAACGTAAGTTGCCATTCCAGATATGCCAGCAGTTCGAATCAGCTCAAAAGGCATAAAACACAGAGCGAGCCGAAGGCCTGTCGCAGAGCTGCCAACACTTCATTTCTTTTCGATGAAACCTGTTGAGCTTTCAGTTTGAGCTAAAATAAGAGCCGAGGTCCCACCAGATACTGACAGACTTCAGAAAAGAGCCAAGAATGACTCTAACTATTGTTTCTCACGTGTTTGTGATTATAAACAGATGTGGGCCTTTTGGAGTCATTTCCTAGGTAAAAAAAATAAAATTTCCCGGTAGTTTCTGTGTTTTCTGTTTGCTCACCTCGATGGATCTACCAGTTTATAGATGACTCCTGAAGGAGACGTGGCACTTGGTATTCCCGTGGACATGAAGTAGAGTTCACCTGCAGAGAATCAAAATCTGTTTTATTACTTATAAATTGGGAAAAGAACCCTGATGGCTTGGTTGATTCATTACCCGATTCATCCTCAGCGAAGGAGATGATGTACTGATGGTAGTTGTTGATGAGTCCAGGAAAGGCACACGTCAGCCCCATCCCCATGCAGATCTCATTATACCTCCACTGACCTGTGGTTTTGTCCTCCTGCAGACTCATCAAACGCCTGAAGCACAGAAGAAGCACTGCTTTGAACGACAAACAAATCGCGTCCAAACTAGTTCTGTGATCCCCGTTTCTGCTGAACTGATGAGGGCTTTCAACAAGGAGCTGTATCTAACATCACTTCATTTCAGTTCTACGTGATCCTTACAGCTCTTCTCAACACAAACAGAAAGCTTGGTCCAGGTTGAACCCACCCGCTCATGAAGTCTCCAAATATGTACATGCCGTTCAGGTTGGGGTACTCACAGCCGCGGTACACGTAACCACCCGTCACCGACTTACCCATCTTATGAGGATAAGCATAAATAGGCAGCACATCATCTGTGAGTGAAACAAAAACATTTTATTAGGAAAACTGTCTGGATCCAAATGTAATCCCATTTTACAGGATGAACCGAAGCAGAGGTTGCTTTCAACCAACAAACATAAGATCTCAGGAAATGGTGTCAAATTGCACAAAAAAAAAAAAAAAGTTTTAAGGTGTAAACTCAATTCAAGTTGCAATTCAGTCCTAATTATACTTTTTTTTTTCTTCCCAAGAAGCAGTTCTTAACTAATCTGACTTTTGGACCCACCATGACCCCTTAATGACAAACTGAGACTGAAATAGAGGATAATTTTCAACTTGTCATATTTACTGAATGAAAAAACAAGTTAGGCCACCACAAAAAGAGCCAAAAGAACCAGCAAGTGGCACATCTGAAAGTAAAATATCTGCATTCTCTTAACCTGAAATGCATAATGGCAGCAATTTCACCCTTTTTTTTTCTTAACAGACTCAAAAGTATCCTGATGCATGCTCAGTACTCAAAAGTACTTTAAAAACACAAAAATAAGTCCAACTTCTGAGAGGTAGTTTCAGAAATTCTCTAAATTAGTAGTTTTATTTGTATTAAACTTCCTAAAAAAAACCTTAACAGGAACAAAACAAGGAAAGAAAATGAAAGAAACTAACGTAGTCCGTTTTAAGTAAAGATTTAAAAAGAATCCAGCAGCACTGGAGGAACATGCTTCTGCTCATGCTTTAAAGGTTCTAGTAGACATGTGGTTTTGTGGAGCTTTTAGTAAATAAATGCATGTCATATCTTCCTTACCGAGCGAGCTGTTGGCGCACAGCTTCTTATCATAGCAGGAGAAACCCTCCTTGGCTCTCCAGCCGTAGTTTCGGCCTTTCTCGATGATGTCGACTTCTTCAAATTTGTTTTGCCCCACGTCCCCGCAGAAGATTCGACCTTTGCCCTCTTTGGTGTGTGGGTCGCCTCTGTCCACGGAGCACCTCCACATGTTGCGGACGCCGTACGCGTACACCTCGGGCCGCGCTTCGGGCTCGTGAATGAACGGGTTGTCTGGAGGGATTCTGTAGAGCGGGCCTCTCTCGTTATTGTTCACATCGATTCGAAGAACTTTACCCAGGAGAGCTGACCTGGAACAGATGAAGCAAAGTAAATAAACTTTTAACGCAGAAATGTTTCTGATTTTCTGCTCCAGTGTACCTTGTTTAGCTTTAAGTTTATCAAAACAGATGGACCATTTAGAGATGAACAATATGACTGTAGCATTTTTGTAACTTATGTATGTATTACTTTTACAAAAATATTAAACTTGAAAATATTTCCCACATAGAAATACACAGATCTTTCTAATCTTTAAAATCTGCTTCAGCTACTGCTCATTGTTTTGTAGGCCACTCTGAGCATTCAGCTATTTTACAAATTGACTTTGGTTATTTAGTTTATAGCAACATGTTTATTTCTTTTAGCTAGCATTTGTTTTACTTTTTGCTTTTAGTTAGCCTTTTGTTACTTTAGCTTTTAGCTACCTTTTTAGCTTTTTCATTTGCTTTTTCTTGTAATAGCCACCCATTTTAGGTTTCAGCTTGCCCTACTTTTCTGGGTTTCCTGTTTTTAGCCAGTATTTTGCAACTAAAACCATAATACTCCTTTTAGCGCCCAACTACCTTTTTTTTAATTACCTATAGCTATAGCATTTTGCTGTTGTTAGCTAAAGTTTGCTGCTTTTAGCTAGTGTTTTGCTAAAGTCAGCATTTTGCAGCTTTTCGTTAGCTATTTGCTACTTTTGGCTTGGTGTTTTGCTGCATTTAGTTAGCTTTTTACTAGTTTTAGCTAACATTTTGCTTTTTAGCTTTTAGCTAGTGTTTAGTTTCTTTTTGCTATAATAACTCTGTTTCAGCTTCTTCAGTAAATTCCAGCAGTGGTCAGCTGTTGCTCAAACTACTCCAGAATTGATCAACTTTTAGTGTAGAGGGTGTTTGTTTAAAACATATTTTTTGAGTTCTTACTTGTTTTGGGCATTTCCATATTCTCCAAACGGATCTCCGGCCATTCCGCCATCGCCTGTGAAGATGTACAAGAATCCGTCGTCCCCAAAGAGCAGCTGGCCTCCATTGTGGTTGGATGCTGGCTCATCAATTTCCAGAAGAACCCTTTAGGTATAATATGGTAAGACACGTTGTAAATTAATGATCTGTTGGTGACAGCTGACTTGGGATGTGGTCCGTACCTACCGCTCTGAGTTGTGGTCCACCGCGTTCATGTCGTTGGCTAACACCTTGAACTCACTGATCCGGATCCTCTCATCGAACCTGACCTCCACTGAGTAATACACGTACAGCTTCCTGTTGTACTTGAATTTGGGGTGAAAGGTGAGTCCCAGAAAGCCTCTTTCATCACCCGACCACGGTGAGGTCAGCACTGCCTGGCTGATGTTCAGAAAGGGCTTCTCCAGTTTGGACCGGTCAGGAAGGTAGGTCCACACCAGCCCCACCTGCTCTGCCACGAAGAACCGATGCGTGCCATCGTTGGCATGCACCATGGCGAGCGGATTACGAAGACCGTTGGCCACTTCCTCCAGACACAGCTGCAGGCAGCCCTCTGAATTCGTCTGGACTCGGCCCAGGTTCTGGGTGAGCTTCTGGTTGCTGAGCAGATGGGGGTAGCAGTAATCTACATCATCCAGCTCTAAGAGCTTACAGAGACGAGACGGATCGTGTCTGGCGTTTTTTATACGCGGGTCATCAGACAGGAAGGGGAGAGTGGTGCGACACTGGTTCCAGAATTGAGAACAGTAGTCGGGACAGAGGCCCGGGATGGTTCTGAGCGGGGTGCTCGGGTCCTCAGCATCAAACAGGTGAGCGGCGTACGGGGAACACTCCTGAGATCACAGCCAGATGGATGACAGGAATCAAACATGAGGGAAAAAGAAGAAAACAAGCTGTCATGAAATTTCAGCAGAGCATTTTAAAGAGGTTGAATCTTTTAGAAGTAAAAATGGGCAGAGGTTTGAAGCCATCTTCTCTGAACTAAAGCTAAGTGGAGAACTGTTCTGTGGTCAAAAGAACACAAGATTTATATTATTTTTGGAAACTAGAAACCAAGTCCTCCAGACTATAGTATGGAGCGGAGGGTCCAACTAGTAGTCTTAACAGCCCACAGTTCAAAAGCTTGCCTTGCTGTTGTTATGGGGGTGCATTAGTGCTGCTGTCATGAGCAGCTTGCATATCTGGATAGGCTCTATCAGTGCTTTGAAGAAGTATGGGTTTTAGAACATCTGCTCCAGTCTAGCAAAAATTTAGCAAAGACGATCCAGCACTGTTGAACAGAGTCCTTCATCAGAGCAGAATGGGTCACTGTTCTCTCCAGAACCTCCAAAAACTGGTCTCCTCAGGTCCTAGATGTTTACCGACAGAGTGGATGCTTCACCTGGAACAACTTTAAAATGTGATGCCATTAAATTCAAAATTAACTCAATTTGCCAAAAGTGATAATGTTTATTGTGTGCTATTTGGAATAAAATAAAGGTTTATGCTTAATTTAAGTAAATGGTTCTTAATTCCTCTTCTTACACCTCCAGATGCAGGAAGAGGGCCACCTGCATCTTGAAGGATCCCACTCACCCAGCACACACTTTTTTGCCTCGCTCCACAAGGCTGAGAATCATAAAGTGCAGAACCACTAGACTGAGTAACAGCTTCTACCCTAAAGTTGTTGGACTCATTAATCCCTAATCAGGATTACCGTGAGAAAAAAAAGTCACTGTAATGCCACTTTGATTGTTGATATGTGTTGCTGATTATCCATGCTGCTGATCTCATGCTGCTGATTTATTTCATGCTGCTGTATTCATTCGTCCTCATCTGCTCACACAGACTCATGTTCGTGCTGCTGTTGTTCAGCATATTGTTTTGCACTATGTTTATTTCTTAGCTTAGATCCTTATTACTGTTTCTTTTACACTTTATATTTTTGCTATTGTTGGATGTAACTGGGACCCTGTGTACACAGTTTCGTTCCACCTCATGTACCACATGTGATGAGAATGACAATAAAGAACTTTGAATTTATTTACTTTCTCTGATTTTTGAGTCAATAAAGATCAATGCACAGCTGCTGTAAAAGAAAGACTGTAATGGAAAGAATGACAAAAAACAAGTTGGACATACAGGACATCATATATATGTTGGGTGTTTTGTAAAATTAATAATCATTTCTAGTAGTAAACAGCTGGCCACATCTGTCTGATAAAAATGCAGCTGCAGGTGCTCAGAAATGTAAAACTTGTGTTTTAAACCCCCTGACTTGTTTAGTGTCAGATTAAATTAAATCTTGTAGAATGAGAGGAAATGTTATATAAAATCAGTTTTTCTTCTGAAGCCAGGTGGCCTTTTGACCCCGCGCGCCTACCTGGCAGAGTAGCTCCAACACGAACCCTGCGCATTTTTCGTACCCTCTCTGGTCATAGTGACCCATGACCCGGTAGAACCGGGCCATCAGCTCCTGGTCCTTCTGGTAATCACAGCAGCCGAACTCATTGTACATGACGCAGAACTCCAGGTCCTTGGGGGGTCTGAAGGGTGGCTTAAAGTCCAAACACTGCGGGTGAGGCTCCGCGGGGGCCGAACACAGGGTCAGAACGCACAGAAATGCGGGCCAACAGAACCGGGTCTTGGCAGAACTCCGCTGCATGATGGCGTATCAACATGGAACATGGACGGGAGAGTTGCAGCAGGCTTCCTGTGACTCTGGACTTCGATCTGGACTGCTTTGGTTGGCGCAGCGACGTGGTGACGCGCCGGTGTCCTCTGTGCGCACCTGCCGCCATGTGCGCACTTTCCCTTTCTTTTTCTTTCTTTCTTTCTTTTTTTTATTTTATTTATTTTTTACTTTTTCTGCGCAGAACTCTCAGATTTAATTAAATTATAGCTGGACAATCTACTCCCAGCAGATGGCGAACTCGGCCAATTTTCACTTCAAGTTTAGTCAACTTGCTAAATAAAATTAAAGGCGCATTCCTCATGGGAATGCATATCGCCCGCCGCCTTTCATGCCATTGTTTTAAACTAAGATCATCCTGATGAGGAATGACCAAATTAATCATTAGGCTACATTAGGTTAGGTCCAATCTTATGTCACTTGTCACGTGTTCTGTTAGTGCTCAAATTACCTGATTTCAGTTCATATGCTAAATTTACTGTTATAGCCATTTTTATGTTAATGGTGTATGTTGGCCATCTTAAAATAGGGTGACTCGAAATGTTATTTATTTGTTGACTTAAAGCTAATAAATAAATAAAGTGCTGTGTGTTGTGGCGAAAGGGTGCATTTAACCCATCGCACCAATTACTTTAGGAGAGTTTTATTAAGCTCCGCCCAGTATATTTTGCTAACAGACAAACAGGGTTGACTCCAACAACAATTGTCATGTTTATAAAGTAAAAATAACGCCCTTGGACTATCTAACTGGGAACAGTCTCAGCTGTTATAAAGTAAGCTCAATGTATCTAAAAGTGGCTGAATTATAAATATTTTAGCACTTAAGGCTCCTTAACTGTGGCGGCCATCTTAAATAGGAGTGACTCTAAATGCTCTGTTCATCCGATGGTTACTTTCTCAAAGTTTCAATAAAATCCGACCGCTCTGCTTTTGTCTTGACAATAAAAAGCAAAGTACGGAAGCCCGAACGCAGTTAATTTTGCACTGTTAGTTTTTGTGTGCATGTTTTTATTTCACCGCTAGGGGGTGCTGTTTCCACCACCTCACTGAATATGTGCGTCTCTCTCTCCCTCTGTCTCTCTCCCCGTGTGCGTGTGTCTCCTGTCCTCCAGTCTCTGTCTCCTTGTCAACTCTCACCTTCACAGAGTTACAGAAATGTTAGAAAGTCTGTCCAACTTCTCATACGCCTAACAAGCATCGGTTCTGGTTCTGGTTCTGGATCGGCATGACGATGGATCTGCTTCTCATAATAACTTAGACCCGCCGTTATCCGTATAGGACACCTGAGACATGGACCCGGCGGACCTGATCCGGATGCCCGACGAGGACCTGCAGAGGCTGGGGAAGGAGGACTTGATCCGGACGCTGAGGACTCTGGAGACCCGCAGCGTGGACCTGATGCTGGAGCACGGGAGACTGATGAAGGACGTGAACCGGAGCCTGCAGGTCCACCTCCGGGAGATCCGGAGCCTGAAGGAGGTGAACCAGCAGCTGCAGGAGGACAACCAGGAGCTGCGCGAGCTCTGCTGCTTCCTGGACGACGACCGGCAGAAGGGCAGGAAGGTGTCCCGGGAGTGGCAGCGCTTCGGCCGCTCCACGGCCGCGGTCCTGGGGAGGGACCTGGCTCTGTACCAGCAGAAGCTGACGGAGCTGGAGGCCGGCCAGGAGGCGCTGAGGGCGGAGAACTCCGAGCTCAAGGAGCTGGTCCTCATGCTGGACGAGGAGAGGAGCGGAGCCGGCTCCCGGAGCTCCATCGACAGCCAGTCCAGCCTGCAGCCCCGGGACGGCGGGGACGGGAGCAGCACGTCCAGCGCCGGGAGCGGGGGGAGCCCGGACCACCTCCCTCATCACCACCTCCTGTTCAAGGAGGGGCATGGTCCTCTCAGGAGGTCCACGGAGGATGTGTCTGCCCACAGAGGTGAGTCCACAAGAACTTTAAAGATCTAACAAAACTAAAGTTGGCTCCTATTCCACGAGTCTGTTAGCAAAATATCTCATGAACCAGTGGACGAATTTTAATGAAACTTTCTGGAGGTAATCAATGAATATACATCTACATCTGATTACCTTTTAAAGTCAACCCGATTCAAGATGGCCGCCACAGCTAGTTGAACTTAAATATAAAAATACCAATAAATCAGTTCATTTTACAGATATTGTGCTAAAATTTGGTGTGGTGGTCGCTGAGAGTCTTTTACAACATATTTATTGAGTGGTAATAGATTGCAAGAAAATTGCTTAAAATTTTGACAAGTCAACTCTGTCTCTTTGTTAGTAAAATATCTCATGAACTACAGGATGGATTAAAATAAAACATCCAGGAAGCGATCACTGAACGAACATCAACTGATTCACTTAACGCCAACTTCATTTATGATGGTTGCCACAACTGATCTTGGAAAACTCATAAATTGTTATAAATGAGTCTGTTTTACAGACAACGAGCTAAAGTTTGAGGTGATATGAGATTCTTTCAGCACATAATCTTAGCAGGACGTCTCATGACGTTGCCCGAGAAAGGGTGCAGCATTATTTTCAAAATTTTACCAAAACGTCTAAAACTCTGTCATTTCTGTCTAAACTTTGGCACGAAAGGTGACGGGTAGGTCTTTGTTTAAATTAATAAATTTTTAAGAGGAAGCGTTTGAGTTGCAGATGACCATCCCAGATGAGTTTGTGTCATTGCAAGCTTTCAAATGAGTCAGGTTTGATAGATTAAAACATTAATAATTGACTTTTATCTTTAAAACATGCACCCAGGCAGCGTGTGGGAGCTAACGGGCTCCGCGTGGCTTCAAGATAAAACTCTAAATTTACATGTTTCATGTTCAGCACAGGAACAGTGTTGTTTGAAAGACTGGAGGTTTATCTTGGATGTTTGCCCAGTGCATTGTGGGAGCAGGTGATACTGGGAGCTTCTGATAGCTTAACTTTTTACACAACTTTGTAACTGAATTCTCTATTTTCAGCTAAAGAAATGGGAGAGCTATGTCACAGCAGCGTCAACAAAGATGTGACTTCAGCAGCAGAAATCCATCTTTAATCCCACACAGCCAGTGTTTTCCAGCCATCTCAACTTTACTTAGTCTGGCTCCGGTGGGGCCAGATGGCCCCGGACTAAATACGTCTTTAGATCTAATGAGGATTTAGCACCTCAGCTGCAACAGGAGGAGACAGAGGGCAGATGGAGGTGCTGCTTCTATCTTGGAGAAACTCATATTTTTCCTGAAGAGATTAGGAGCTTGATGCTCCTGAGTTCAGGCCACATGCTGCTGGTAAACATGATGAGCAGGTTCAGCTGCAGATTGACTCATTACGCCCCCTGATAAATAAATAAATAATTTGAAGTAGCCCTAGAATTGTTCCTGATGACCAGATATTGTCAGCTAGACTGCAAAGTGCTGCTTTTAAATGTCTTATTTGACAGACTGGTTTTATGATGGTTTTATGGTGTGCCTTAATAAAACATCCCCAAAAGTTACAAGTGTCCTCAGGTGGTCTAGAAAGGCCACTTGAGTTTCCCCTCTTATAGTTTTAATTGGTGAAGAGGTGAGCATACTTAAAAAAATAAAAGCCAACACAAACAATTTGCTAGAGCAGAAAACACAACAATGTTTAAATGATGCACCTGCTGGGCATGTAATTAATTATTGAACAATCTAATATTGCATTTTCTTTCTAAATCCTTGTTTATTTTTAGCCTAAGATTGTATCCAAAACAATAGCTAAAAAAAAAGGCTGCAATATAATCTGATGCTTTTATTCTGAAACTTTTACTTTTATAATTTCTCAAATTTAAAGGACTCCTTCCCTGTTTAGTCAGGAGCCCCTCTTTTCTTTGTGTGCATGTGAGCGTGTGACAGATTCACTGCAGACAGAAAGGTCGTGTTGTTATGATAATGAGGCATCATGGGAAAGTCCTGCTCTGAGAAAAGGTTTGAACGTTCAATAAAAGAATCAGCCTGTTTCTATACAGAACCCACTGTCTGCTGGTGGAGGAACAAAGCTGACGACTGTTTGTCTCTGTTTGATGGAGAATAGAAAAATAAAGTGCCGCTTGACTGAATAGAAAACATTTCAATCTATTGAGCAGAATTTATCGAGGCTAAAGTCACTTTTTTTTTTTGAGAAAAATAATTTTTTTACCTTGAAAATTTAAATAAATGCAACTTATAAGTTCCAGTCCCTCTCTGCTGTGCTTCAGCTCTGCCTCTCAAGCCCCTCCCACCAGAGGGGAGTGGTCACCCTGGTTTGTAAATATGACAATTGCAGAAGAGACAGCAGACAGGCTGCCCAAACCATCTTAATTATTATTATTTAATTTTTAATTTTTTTTAAATAGCAAATACAAACATAATTTGAAATTAAAATTTTTTTTTTTAGAAGTTTGTACAAATGTTTAACTATTAAAAAAAATCTGGATCCAAAGAGACACAAAGTGCATTAGCAGAAGATGAAAACAGTATTTTTTAAGACTCAGAACCTGTAAACACTGACCAGCATCTTTACAAATAAGGTAAAATGTGAAATTCCTGAAGAATAAAGGGTTTTATTATATGAACATTCACCACATTTTTCATTTTGTTTCCAGTTAGCAGAGCTACTTCTTCCATTAAATTAAAACTTCATTGTCACTTTCTGATGATACAACACAACTTAATATACTGTATTTTAATTGATGTGTCTGTTAACTCTAAAGAAACTGGATATTTAGTCATGTCTTTGTGAAAATGTATTAAAACTTCAGTGTTTATGTTAAAAAAATTCAATTAAAAGCATTTCACTATATAAACTTGTTAGGTTCATATTGGTCTGAAGCACAATGAGGTCTTTAAAACATGTCATGGCCCAACAGGATTCCAGGGTTCATGAAGAACTGGAACCTTAGTAAAAACAGCCCTGATGTGGAAATAATAGAGGCATTGTTTTAGCTAACATCTCTGGATAAAGCACCCCTGCTGGGATGAATCTAGTTAATTAATGAACGGTAAATGATCAAAAAGGTGGAACAAATATATGAGGCTGAAAGTTTGGTTCTCTTTCCGGTTCTTTGTTCAAATTCTGAAGGTTTTTAATATGACACGTTATTTGGTAGCCTAAATGACTAATTCTAATTTAACCAAGTAACTCAGGAGGAGTGGAATATGATGATAACATCTTCTCACCTAAACTGTGACACCTTCTGCTGGTTTTGGAGGTCATTTTTTGAGTTTTTCTATAACATTTCTTGTGATGATTTTAAATTTCCTGTCTTGTTTAGCAATAACCATTTGATTAATTTACATCCCAAAAGTTGCATTTGTTCACATCTGGTGAGCTGAAATCAGCAAATCATTTAAATATGAGCAATTCATGAAATGTTTTTATGTTTACTTTTCTGTCATTGCAGACATTTTATGTTTGGGCAGGTCAGCTTTAATATTTACTTTTATTTTTTTATAGCTGTATTTTTATTTCCTGAACCCAATGCAGGCAGGTAACAACAAAGACAAAAGTGCTGCAGAGCAGGAAGCCAAACTGAGGTTCAAAACAGAGAGGATGAAAAGCAGCTGAGTCACCAGGAAGACGAAGAAGAAGAAAAAAACCAATAAAAATCTGTCAACAAACAAAGAAAACCAGCAAGTTAATGTGAGCGATAAAAAGACACGAATAACAGGTTCAAGAAATAAAAATAAGTATAGAGGATCAAAAACAAAGAAACATAGCTATGAAGCTAAGATTAATTGAAGAAAACAAGGTTTTAACAAAACATGACCACAAATCATAAAAGTCAAGAACCAAAACAACTCAAACAGAAAAAAAAACTGTTTTAGCTCTTAAATAATTTTCACAAATTAGTTTAAAGCTGGGAATCACACTTTGTAACTTTAAAAAAATGAATCTATCTGAAAAATAAGGTCAGATGCACAGTGAGCAAAATTCTTGCAGACAGTCAAAAGTAACAAAAATTAAATAAGGCCCATTATCTAAATGTAGCAAAAAGCTAGTGAAAACTAAATGTAGGAAAGGCTAATTAAAGCTAAACACTAGCCTAATGCCGCAAAAAGTAGCTATATGCTAAAATAACAAAAGGCTAGTACTAGCTAAATGTTAGAATGGCTAGCTAAGCATTATAACAAAACTGTAGCCTAATGCAGCAAAAAGTAGCTATATGCTAAAGTAACAAAGACTAGCTGTTGGATAATTTAATTATTTTATCAATAACTCATTAAATAATTAAGCCACACAAGGAAACTAGATCTTTATCACCCTAGGTCTAATCTTGCAAGATGGAGCAGCAGTTAAAAAACAAGCATCAAGATGTTACATGGCGCTTCGTCCCACAAGGTCTGCTCACAGGCAGTATAAGGAAGTGTCTTTATATCAGAGGCGAGGTCAAGACAACCTCTCAAGACAACTGTACTTGAAGTTTATCAGGTGCACAGGCTCCGTACTCTTATAGGTTCCACTTTGCAAAGACAAAACAACTCTTATCTCTTATGTACTTCTATAACATTTGACAGTAAGTGAAACATCCATGACCTTTACATCCCCCATCATTTGCTTAAAGTTAAATGTAGGAAATTCAATTCTGTTTATTTATATAATGCCAAGTCGCAACAGAAGTCATCTCAGGGCACTGAACAGAAACATTCATATATAAAAATAATAATTTAACATTTATCTGAGGAGCAGACTGCTTTGAATTTAACTCCATCGCAGAACCCTCATCTTGAGCAAGCATGAAGGCAACAATGGAAAGGAAAAACTCCCTCATGAGGAAGAAAAGCTATATGTACCAAAACACTAGCCTAATACCGCAAAAAGTAGCTATATGCTAAAGTAAAAAGAGGCTAGCTACAAGCTAAATGATGGAAAGATTAGCTACTTTGTATATGTAGCAATAAAACACTAGCTTAATGCAGGAAAAAATGGCTA